TCAAGATTTGTTTGAAAAAATACAGTCCGACCCTTAGTGTCCATCTGCTTAGCATTTGGACAGAGAGTGTTCATGACTTTATAGTATATTCTATAAACAAAAACCAAATTTTAGGAACCAGGGTGCATATCAAACCCTTGTGTTTTAAGATTTAAAGTTAAAACCTTTAACAAATTCGAATCAGCAAGAGATACAAAAAAATTTGGAAAACAATTAAAATAAATTGGGCCATTAAAAAGGCTAGATTCAACTATTTCTAAAAGGGAATCTGTGAATCTTCTATGTCTGTTATCTCTTAAACAAAGCAGAACTGAGTTATTTGAACCAGTCCTTGTAAGAGGTTTTACTGCTACTTGGACTAATCCAATATGCAGCTATTTAAAATATTTTTTTCTTATGTTTTGCTATCATCCTTGTAGATAGAAGTTGGAAACTATCTTGAGTCTCCATTACAGATATTGTTTTTTCAATTGTTTTGATTGAAAAATTACTTTTAAAATAAAAAATTCCTTTTTTGTAAACATCATAAACTGAGACTTTAGGAATGTTCTTTTTTGTATTTGGTTTTCAATATTATCTGTTATGACATCTTCTCTATTATTAACACGTAATAAACTACTACTACAACTAGTAGCAGTCGATATATTAGATAGGGTCCTGATAAAATTTTGCCATAATAATAATTTTATAACCTAGATCCGAGTCAAGAGGAAACAGTCCCTATGCATTCACACGTCTTCTCTCGGCTTAACAGCAATTATCGGGTCACTCCGACTTTGATCAGATTGTAGAAACAATTCTTATAAACAAATTTTACAGTTAATCACTGTATAAACTTGGCTCTGACACCAAATCACCAAATCAACCCAAATCACAAATTACCAAATCAACCCAAATCACAATACAACAAAATAAGAGCTACAAAATACACTAAGGAATAGAAGGTGCATATTATAAAAATAAAAACTTACATTGACTAGCACGACTGTTGAGGAAGAAAAAGGAAGCTGAATGGCGTGATACACTACCAGATATACAAAGAAATATTATAAAAGAGGAGGAAGAAACTCAGAGAAAAGGTAAGAGCACTCAAGAAACTATTACAACACTCACACATAAGAAGCTAAAACTTGAGGTGCCTCCAATATGAGAGGTCACCTCCTTATATAGACCAGTATAGTTGGTAGACTTAACACCCTTTTAAGTTCGCACAGTGATGTCGGTGGACTTGAAAAATTTTGAAGTCCGCACAGTGATGTCGGTGAACTTAGAATCGTTTGGAGTCTGCAAATTATTTTCCAAACATCCAAAAGTGCTACAGTGTTCGCATCTGCTACAGTAATTTGCTACAACAACCGCTGCTACAGTGACTGCTACAGTGTTCTTCTTTTGAAAGTTTTCTTTTCTTTATCCTTTTCTGATGTTTTTGTCAGGACACGTGTCCTGGATGAAGTGGAGTGGCGCTGTCCCGTATTTTAACAGTATTTTTAACTGTGCTTTTTTTTCAATAGTATTTTAGATACGAGGCAAAGGGTTCAGAATATTCTGGATCAAATCCTTCTTCATTCTGATTTCCTTCATACTAATATTCATCATCAGGCTGGTTGGTAGACATTTTGTCTTCCTCGTCTTTTAAAGCCATAAGGAGCCTTCTTTTAAGCTCGGTTTTTGAAATCTTTTTAGTATTTATTTGATTTAAAAATCCATTAATTCATCGCTTTCGCTTATAATAGCTATATGACTGGGGCTAGCTTTTTCAGAATAATTTTTCCTGGCTCAAGATGTATGCAAGTGAAATTATCTCACCATTTAACATAAATTTGTCTTTCTAGACTTGGGATATAATCCCACTTGTCAACATCATCTTCAGTTATAATATACTCCGATCTCATTATCCAGGGGATTTCATATAAAATCTAGAAATAGATGTCCAGGTTTCTTTCACCTGAGTCCTTGTTAAAATCAACAAACATTTGTTTAGATTATTTAATTAATCCAGAAAGAAGACTGGAAATAGGTCCTCATCTATAGAACCAGTTTTTAAACCAATTGGGTAAGTCTCTCAGGCATTTTATTCTGAATTGTAAAAACCAATTATGTGAATTAGTAGGATTTTGGTAAGAAAAGATTAAATCTCATGCTTTAATATAATCATAATAATTATATGATTTTATAATTGTATGTTGTTCTTTAAAATATTTTGGCTTTAATGGATCAAAACCCCATTCTCTATATGAAATAATATCGAGAATTTGAAACTTTGAATATGCAAAGTGGTGATCCTTATTTCTATAGTTATGAACTATATTAACATATCATGTTTCTATTAAAATAGATTTAAACCATTAGAGGGATTCTACTCATAATCTTTTGGTCAATTTATTTTTAAACCATAATTATGAACTCTTAATTTCACAGTCTATTTCGGGGTCAATTTATATTTTTCAAATTATTTTTTTTAATGTTTTTATTAGATTCTACTATTTTTTAATAATAGACGCTCAAAATTTCAAGTGATTTTGATTTATATAAAAAAAATGAAAATTTAAATATGAAATGAGGTCATGACCATTGGATTAAGCCCAGATTCAAGCTAAGCTATCGGCTAACA